ATTTTTTTAAATATAAATTTTTATTTTAAAATATACTGATAAAATTTAAATATTTTATCATTCAAGATTTTATCAATATAAGTTATCTTTGTTTTAAAATGTTTAAAATTTAACTGTTGCATCATGCAATGTTATTTTTAAATTTGAAAACTGTTTAATGAGACACATATGGTGTATTTTTAGCTATAATTTTTTGTTTTTAAATAAAATTTAAAAATAAAGACCATTAAAGTATAAGAACTCACATTTTTTTACTTAGGTTATTATAATAATATATTTTAGCAAATAATGAAGCTCTTCACAACTATCCCAGTATTGTGAAAACATTTCTACCAAATATTTTTTTATGAAGAATTCCTCAAGGTTTTCCAAAAGGGTATTAATAACCGGAATTAGGATATGGTTTGAATGAATTGGATTTAAAAGTTTCTAAAATTTGTGTAAAACGGTTCTTATTATATGCGTAAAGATTCTACTGAATAATCACAAGCGGCTGGTCCAATTGCCAAAGAATGAGATATATTCTATCACAGCGTTTATAGTCTCGTGGTTCATCCCTGTAGGTTCGAGAGTTAATGATATGTTAACCTCTCTTAAGGCTCTTCATTAAATTAATAAATATTCTTTAGATCTTTATAACTTTAAGGTTCTATAATTATTTAATTTAAATTTGATTAAGGATATAATTAGAAGTGATGGTCAAGTTAAAGTTCAAATGAACCAATTTAACAAAAAAAATTTTTAAAAAGGGCGTATTTTTAAGAAAAATAAAATAGGATTTACTATTAATGAGAATCCTTGATACCCTCTAATGTAAAATGGATTTTTTTATAAAAAAAGTACATACTTAGGCAATTTCCAGATAGAACGTTTTTTTCAGAATTTTTTATAGTTTCCAACCAAATGACAATTATTTTTCTAAATACATTTTTAGGTGCAATATAAAAAATTTTGCAATTGATGACTCACAGGCGTCATTTAAACGTTAATAGAATTAAAATCTTCACTAACTTCTAAAAAAATTCAAAATATTATTTGCAAAAAATTTACCACAAATTATTTTCCTATGCTTGGAAATAAACTGTAAACATGCCTAGTAAACCTCTTAGAAAAAAATTCTGTCTGAAAATAGCTTTATAGGCATATTTGCCTGATTTTTTTCCTGATTTTTTTCCTGTGGATTTTTTTTCTAGAATGTTTTTCATAGTATATTTTTTATTACTTTCTAAGGGCTTTTATTTGAGGTACTTTTTGCTAAGGTTATTTTTCTAGTATTCACATTAAATATAAAATTAAAGATAATATGATTTTGAAAATAATCGGTTAAAAATAATTTTAATACATAATAAATATTTATAAACACAAAAAGGTATTTATTTTATAATGATTAAGTTTATAAACAAATTATAAAAATTTTATTTTAAATTAAAAAAAGGTATGTATTTTCAAAATTTTTTCCAAATATATTTATTTTAAAACAAATTAGGAAGAGAGTTACACCACCTATAGAATACTTAAATATCAATTGTAGCTACTGTATAAGTGGTATATATAAGTTAGTAGATTTCTATACAATATGACTATAGAAACACAGTAAGAGGCATAAAATTAAATTATAGCAGAATAGCGATATTTGACATAAGTGTTTCTTGTCATATTCAATGTATACCTTTACTTTTCATTTATACAAAAGTTGCGTCATTACTTATTGATAATATATTATATCAGCCCAAAACGATGTCCAAAATAAAATATATTAAGAAGTAAAAGTTTAATTAATACAAATATTTTATATTTTTAATTTTGTTTCGTGGATAGTGTGAATAATATTTCTTTATGTATCCACCAATGGTATATTTTTGTTTTGAACTCACGGCAATATATTTGTGCATTTATTGGTGCAATAATCAATACAATTCATAAATGTTAAATAATATCTCGATCACTTAGTTTTGTTAAAAAGCCCCGATTATGGTCGATTTTTAGAAAGCCCGATTAGGATAATAACCAAAATAATCTTATGTAAATCTAGAGATTTTACTAGTAGATGGCAGAAAGGTTTGGAGATCTATTTTTTAAATCTCGAGGCTTACATAAAATTGTTTTGGTTAAAATCTTAATAGGCCCGTTTTCAAAAATCGACCCAAAGCTTTTAAAAATCTCTTAATTACATTTATTATAAGTTTAATATTTGAGCAATAATATTCATATCAACTGCTTATTTAAGAATAATAATTGAAGTCAAAGATGAGATCAAATTCAATGATGCTGATTCTGAAAACTGTTTTTATGAAAAGGATAGTAAACCAACTTACACTCTTTTGAACATGATGTTGTTTTTAAAGAATAGTCGTGTTTTTATAATAAAGAACTAGTTTTATTCTTCTCTAAATTTATGGATAATAATTATAATCAATACAAAGCTAAATAATTTTAGATGGCAGCTAAAATATTTTTATATTTTTTAAAAATATTATTATTAATTTATATTTTATAATAATCATTTCTATATTGCACATATATTCTAATTTACAGCTATTTATCATATTCACAGCAGAAATAAATAGGCAACTAATTTATTCTAATTCATGTCGATTTCAAATTATCCTTGGTTTATATTCATCTACTATTTTAAAATTTCCCAACAAATCTTGAAACTTTTTAACTGCAAAACTAAAGTAAAATAATCCAAAAAAGAAGATATCGATTTGATTGATATTATGAGATCTAAAAATATATATTTGAACTTAAGGAAATTAGGGCAGACCAATTTCACAAATTATATGTCATTGTTGAATCATGCTCTATGAATTACGCTGATTATATATATATCCTTAATTTAAATTTGTATATAAAAAATTGCCAATTTTATAATCACTAGTCCAAATAAATTTCTGAGATCTAAGAGATTGATTAATAACTCCTAAAACAATCCTAAAAACAAATTAATTATGGCTCCCCTCCTCCCTTAACGAAATCATGCGTTCACGCCTGTCAATACAATATAAATTGTATTGTAATTGCAGCCACACTAGTATCGTATAATTGTCTTAGAAGTTAGGCTTCCTCTCTAAGCTTTGATATTTCTCAAATGAAACGAGGTCTTCTGACATGCTGCATGTTCTGTTTCACCTCAGTCTCTTTTAAATAATTATTTGTATTAAATTTCATTTTAATATTATTTAGTGAAGGTCTAGTCCGGTCTTTGGTCCGGACTTGACCGATACCCTCGGTCCGGACCGGACCATGGTCCTTAAGAAAAAGATCGATCCAGACCGTGGTCCTAAACCTGTCTTTTTATTTTTTTAAAAAACATATTTTTTTAACCTAATTTGGTTTGTTTTATCATTTTATTAAATATAAGAGTATTATATAAATAAAATTTGTCCAATGGTATTGAAGAAAATGATTTTGTGCTTGTGGAGGGCATATTAAAATTAAGAGTAGATTGTGTTTTTATTTTCATATTCATCATTAGAAGTATATATTTTATGTTTTATCAGATGTCTGCTTAAGGTACCTAATTATTTTATTAAGAATAAGGTTAAGTAATTTTTTCAATAAATTATACAGACAGTTTCTTAAGAACAAAATATTTTAATAATATTACTGCTTATTTTGATTAATTTATTGCTTAAAAAATTATAAACAATTATTTTGTTACTAATTGCTGACGATACATTAAATTTGGTACTGCAGTGAACACATACTCTATGTTTTTTATTGGTACTATAAGTAAAATGTTTCTTGAACAAACTTTTGGTTTTCATATTGTAAAATAAAAATTAACAAAATCTAAAATAACTCCTCTAGAAAAATATCATAAAATAAAATATACAAAAAAATTATATTTATTGAATAGTAAAGCAAACTTAAACAATAATAAAAGACCAGTCCGGACCGCGGTCGGGACCGTAAAAAATAAAAAAAACCAGTTCGGACCACGGTCCTCAAAAAAATATCGGTCCGACAATCGGTCCGGTCCGATCCCGGTCTAAGACGGATAGGACCGGACCACTTCACTAATATTATTTACATTTTTTAAATATTTAAAATAAAATAACGAATTAATAAACAGCTAGATAAAAATTTAATATGTTCTTTCTAGTATGGCAGAGTAGAAGGTTAACAATATTATTATTATAATTAGAACTATTGATTTGAAATAATATATTCAGTTTTAGAGTAATTATTTCTACTTGTAAAAAAAGTCTAATTAACTTTCTATTGTTTAGTAAAAAAAATAGATGGTATTTTTTCTAATTTTATTTTTTGAAAAGAATTAAATTTTAAAAAATAACCTTATCCAAAAACATAAAAAATAATAAATTATATTCTTACTTTAAAAAATATCAAACTTTTTAAATTTTAAAATATAAAAATATTTACTAAAATATTCTAATTGGAAATTAATAACCAAAATAATTTTGACGATAAATAATTTTCTAACTTAAAAAAAATATTGATCAATTTTTATGATATAATTCCTCTCCCCCCTCCCTCAACCCCCTTGCTATAAAATTTTAAAATATAAATTTATATATTCCAATATTATTTACACAGTTGGATAATTTTTCATCACAATTATATAGTATCCTTACTTTTTATTATTAATCAATAAATCGTCTATTAATTATTGTTCTTTTTTATTATTATCTATTTTCAGAAAAATATAAAATCTTGTTAAAAATTTTGAATTTTAATTAACCCAAAAAGTATTAAGAGTCAAATGAATAAAAATATTTGCAGAAAAGGGAGAAAAGAAATGATTTTTTTGTAAAGTAAATTTAAAGTGTTAGCCAAAAAATCCTTTTATTATAATTCTTTTTTTAAAATGTTTTTTTTTTAAATATTTTTCTTTTTTTATAGATATTATAAAAATTTAGATTTAATATAATTCTCACAAAATAATATCATCATTAACATGATTTATCTATAAATTAAATTTTTTTAAGAAAGAACATAAAAATTTACAATAATTAGATTTTAGTAAATAATATTTCATTGTGAAAAAAATTTACAACTCTAAAAATAAATTGATCTCTTGCGAATGTGCTCGACGTTCAGTTAATATCGTATGTCGTTTAAGAAGAATATAGCCATTTTCTTTATATACATCTCGTCGTTTTGCATATTAATATCTTTGGACTTACATCAGTCGTCAAGTTCGGTTAATAAATCGGCTAACCGCACTTTTAAATTTAATAATTATGATACAAAAAGGAAAGACTTAAAAGAGATTGAGATGACAAATTTCAATATGTTCAATCGGTGTCTAAAATCGGAAAGGGGCAACAGGGAATATAATATCAACATAGAACTATGCAATCTCAGGAACTTAAGTAACTTCAGTTATTATGAGCCTTTTTTATTTTATAGTTCGCCAGAACGACATCACCAATTTTTTCGAGATAATAAAACAACATCATCCGGCCTTTATCATAAACAACCGACATCTAAGAACGTTAAAAGAATGCTTTTAGATTCCAACTTTACCAAGACTTCCAATTCTTCTATAGCAACTAAATTCCTCATTCGGGTATTCAAAAACAAAACTTCACGGCGTAACTATGCTTGGGAGTATTACCATCAAAACGCATCTGACCCTAGAATCAAATTAGCTATAGGAGTCATATTGCCAGAAATGTACAAATGCCCATTTTATTTGGACGATCATTATCCTGATACGCAGGTTAATTTGAATGAAAAACTCAGAAATGGCTTAGCAGAATATCCAACAAAGCAGATAAAAATAACTCAAGCAAAAGGTTTGGGTATAAATCTTGACTTCTTAAATAATGATATCTTAATTGGAGATTTTCCATTAAAGCATAAAAGCGTTTTTATGAAGGCGGACTACAAAAGAAAGTCACCATTGGTCAAAAAAGATAAACGTTACTCTCACTCAGATTATCATTCCATTCATTTAGCTCTGTATCACATATCCAACTATAAAACAATATTAAAGGGTTATCGATTAACTATCGTCTCCAATATATCAAAAGTTTTATTTTATCTTTCTAACCATAGTTTTTACTATTATATTATACTTGGATGAAATATTTTATAAATAAAATGATCCCCTTACCTTGAAATATTTAATGTTAAACACCTCTTTAAATTAAATATATTTTAAAAAAAAAAAATTTTGGGAGGGGGGGGGGCGGGGTGCCCGGAATAATAATGATTTTTTAAAAAAACTTAATATTTGAATTTACCTGATAAGTTAAGTTAAATATGATCGTTTTAAAACAATTTGAGTCCTTAATAAATACTTGAATTTGCCTAAACTAGGTATAATAGCCTAGATAAGGCAAATCTGTATGAGATAGCTAGGGTTTGATTTTGAGAAAAAAAATAGTAAAATTAGCGAAGAATAGAATAAAAAACATGCTTGAAAATAATTTAAGGAATTTTTGAAATCGAAAATTAAGTTTATAAATGACTTTAAAATAAAAATAAAATAATTTTTTAACAAAATTTGCTAGTAATAAATTGATTTTGAAAGAAAAATTTCCAACAAAATATTGTAAGATTATGTTTAAGATGCTTATGATATTGAAAAACTGTAAACATTTCTAAAAAAATCGAACGCGTTCGCGTTCAACGTTCATCGACAAAAATCGAACGTATTCACGTTCAAGTTCATGTTCAAAAAAAAGGAACGCGTTCACTAAATTTTTTTAAAATTTAATTTAATATAAATAAACTTATATTTTTTAATACAATATATTTTAGCCATGTTAAAAAATAATATAGTTTTATTTTGATAATATAATTATAAATAAAATATAATATAGCGAATAAAAAGATATTTTTATTCATAAAAAATTTTTCTTATTAAATTATAATAACAATTGTTTTCAAAATATTTATCTGATAGAGAGGAACACATGGCAGTTAATACGGCATTAGCCTAAAAACGCGCTCTACAGGGGCAGATGAGAGGATTGCGGTATTATACTTAATAAACAGCTCTTTTAACGTGGAGAATTAATTAAAAACATATTGTTTTGTTACTTGCAAAAAATTGAAAGTTATCCTCCTCCAATCCATTCTCTACTCTCGACAAAAAAAAAGGATATCTAGAAATTAACAGTTCTCTAGGGTTTTCAAAGCATTTTTTTTAATAACGCTATAAGTTTATTTTTAATAGGTTTGTTCTGTGGAAGTTTTATCTATGGCCATTGAAGTTTGAATGCTGGATGTATAATTGCAGAAAGAACATATTGATCCTTATATATATGTTCAAATCTTTAAAAAAATAAAATATATATAATTAATTGAGAGTGATAGGTTTAATACCTTTTTTTAATCCCATTTAATACGGCGTTTATCAATGGTTGACCATATTTGAGGCCACAATTTTTTTTAATTTTAAAATAACTATCGTTATTGTTAGGGTCAAATATCCCAAATGCATTATTTCTTCAAATTTAATGATTTAACTTAGTTATATCATATAAAATCAAATAATTAATATTAAAATCAAATATCGTTTTAAATTGTTGGCCACATTTTACACTTGGTAAGCATTGGATTAGTTCCTTTAATATAGGATGTTAATGTAAAACATTTATCATATTTGGCCATAGTAATGATAATTCAACTGATTTTGGATTTTCAGAATCAGATGATGAGGATTAAATAATAATAAATATCCATGCTTATGCTAATCTATTAAATTAAAATATAAACAATAATATTCAAATTAATAAACTATGTGTTAAAAAAATTGAAATGTGAAAAGGAAATACACAGCCGATTAAAAAATATAAATAATACATTTTTTAAAAGAATTTGGAAATATTAAATTTTTCAAATAAATAAAAATATTTTTAAAATTGAACGAACGATAAATTCGAACGCGTTCGTCATAAAAAAGGAACGCGTTCACGTTCAAAGTTCGTCAAAAATAAAAAGAACGCCATTCATCATTTTTTTCAAAAAACGAACTTCGTTCACGAACGCGTTCATTTAGAACACGTTCGTTTACAACACTAAAAATTTGTAATAAAATATTGGTGGATTACATTTTCGATAAGGATTGTAAATTTGATCTTACTGATACTAGGTATGAGAAAAGTTCTGATGCGGGCTACATATATGCGGGATTAATATATATTAAAAATAAAAGGATTAAATTTTATAATTAGAAGTAGTTATTAAAATCAAATGGATATCTCAGGGTTACCAAGTAACCATATGTATCTTATTAATTTAAGTGAAACTAGGCAGGGGCAGGAGTGAGAGAAGATAGGAATTTAGATTTCCTTTCTTTGCGAATTTTGATTTTGATTTTCTTTTTTCTTGCAGATTTTGATTTTTGTAGGGGGGTAATGCCTTAGCTGGGGGGGAGGGGGGGGTCGAAGTTCCTCAAATTAGGTTTAGGTTAAGACCTGATGTGTGCTAGAATTAGGTCGTGCCTTTTTTCCTAGGATAATTTAAGCTGAAATTTAAAATATTTCATAATTTCGATTTTTATTGCATAAAATTTAAGATTAACTTGTATTAATAAAATTTTTTGTTCACTCCTTTCCATAATTTTCTAAATTAAAATTTTCTCCAGGATAAACTGAAGTTCGCTAAAATGCCTTTAACTTTTAAGGTCATTCATCTTATTCTAACATTCATCAGTTATAAAAACATAATAATTGAAATTATTTTATGATTAATCAAATAAAGTTTTTTAAATACTATTATTCCTAATGAATTTTAGAAATCTTTTTTCATATTTTTAATAAATCCTTGATATTTAAATATGATTTGTTTCGGGTTATATTGGTTATATCATAAAATCAATCAAGATATATGTCAATTATATTTAAATAATAGTATTAAATAAAATAATAGATGAATTATTATTAAATTTGTTTCTTTAAATAATTTTAACGTAACCCTTTTATTTTAGAATTTCAATCCGTGCATTATAAATTATGTAAAGAGGGGAGGAGGGGTGGGAGATCTTTTTCGATTTCTTGAAAAAGGGAATTGGGTTTTGTTTCCGTTATTAAGTTGGCTTGGCCAATAATTTTATTTTGTATTTATTATTAATAGTGTTAATAAATTTTTCTAACATCTCCTTAAAAAGGATGAAACCGAATTATTTGATGCCCATTTAAAGCTAGAACTAAATGTTTTTAACTTATGCATTATTTCGAAATTTTAATATATTTTCTTAATTTTATCTAATCTTATCATAAGAATTTCAACAAAATACAGTAATTATATAAAGTGTATAACGTCCGAATACAGATCCATCAGTCTAATGCAAACAGCTCCTACGTTGTAGAATATATAGAATAGGGCACTTCCAGGTTACCTGAATTAATCAAGTAGGCTTTAGATGGGGTGGAAGTTTAATCTATCAAATATTTATAATTTGTCAATTGTTGATGGAGGCCCAAGCGAAACTATTTACTCAAAACATCATATCTGCAATCCCAAAGAATTTTTTTCCCAATGAAAAAAAACACCTGGACTTTTATTTCATCTCTTATCTCCTTTATTGAATATTGATTTTTGGTTTTTAGAAGAAATCCACTGAACTGGCCCCTGCGCTAACTAGTCTAGGTCTCCTTTAATATCTATTTGTGTTCTAGCGGTTTATCTCAAAAATTATTTAGGGTTACCAGCTCCGATGGCGGCACAAAACTCTCTACAATAAATTTCATACAATTTAAATCTCCCTCAATTTTAAAATTTATATCACATTATAAATTAAAACTATTAAATGATAAATAATCATTTTTAGAAACAGAGTTTTGTTTAATTTTTATATTATAATTAAATTTAGAAAGGAATTGTTAAAATAAACATTTTTAGTTTAAAAATTTATCAATGCATCCTCAAATAAATAAAATTTCAGCATCCTCCCTCTTCCTATTGGAAGGTAGTTTTTAAATTATAAAAATAAATGAATATATGGTATTTTTCATTTATTCTGGGGTAAAACGAAAAATTACCTTATAAAATTTTAAATTCAAATAAATTTTATAATCACTCTTTATTAAAATATTTAAAATTTCAATTGCCAATTTATAAAACTTTCACATTTTATATAGAAGACAATAAATTTTTCCAATATTGCTGATTTTTAATGTAGCATAATTAAGAAATAAATTATTCCAATTTACTTTTCTATAATAAATAAAACAAATTTAAACAATAAGATTTTAATGTTTTTTTATAAAAATATTATTAAAACGCAAATTTCCCAATTTTCGCGATACATACGATTTGAAATACATTATTTAAAATAAAGCGCAAAACCACAATTTAAAAGCAAGGAATAAATGCTACTGATTTTGTAAAATATAATAAAGTAAAGACTATGTGAATAAAAAATGGAGTCAAATAAGCACCAACTTTTTTCCTGGCTGATAGCTGGGCATATGTGGGCTCTTTCCGTAAAAATATTTTCCAGCAATTTGAAGAATTTCTTCCACAATTTTAAAATGTTGACTTAGCCACCCTCCTCATATAATTAATTAAATTTATTTCTTATTAGGATATGGAATACGTTGGGATTTGTCGAGATCTTGTATCCCTACGTTTTATTGAATATTTTATTTTAGTGATATGCATCGGGCCTAATTTTTTAAGCCCTGCCCGGCCCGAATAAAACATTTTTTTATTTGTTCCAAAAAGTCTGACCCAAAATAAAAATAAAAATTTTTGTCCAGAAAAATTACTCTTTTTTTGATTGTAAAAGAAATATTATGCAAAATAAAAACTATTAGCGCCTTGTTTCTTGCAAGAATTTTACAATATATCAATTTATTTGACAAATTGATATTTTAAATTATTTTTTTAATATAAATATTTATTCTAATCTATTATTATATTTAGTCCTAGCACAACCAAATAATAATTTTCTCACCAATTTAATTCTTTTGTTCGGGCATTTCAAACTAATTTAATACATATTTTTAGGTCTATCAAATTATACAAGTAGAAGATTTCAAAAAATAATACAATTTTAAATACAATTCAGATTATAAT